TACATTTATAGCATAAATAGTCATCAATTAGAAAAAAACACAATATTTTTGGAAAATTAAAAACATTTTCCCGGTAGCAAGACTTGTTTTTTCACTAAAAAAAATTATACCATTCAACTCAGAATACATAGGAAAAGTGATGTACTGAATGAAATTCATAACATGCAAAAGTATGATATACCCTACTGTGGAAGCTGGTGTCATCCAACGCAGTGCACTCGGACCAGTTTGCTTGATACTCTTTATACTTGATATAAACGATATATTTGACTGCCATACTGAACTGTACAAATTTGCTGATAAAACCCTTGCATACATTGTTGGAGACCAAGCCCACTCAACCCAACCAGAGCAAATTTGAAACAAATTTAATAACTGGTTCATCAAAAACAAAATGTTATTAAAAATGCAAAACCATGAGATTACCAAGTAACAAACTTGACACACGCCTACCACTAATAGTTTCTAATCCAATCCTAATCTCTAGAGTATGTAACATCATATAAACAGCTGAGATTGGATTTAAATATAGAAATAAACACTAACCAATGGCAGTGCATCAACCCCAAACTTTCGTCAGCTCAATACCTAATTAGAAGTAAAAAACTAGACTTTCATAACGAAGTACTAGTAACAATATACCAAAACATTAGACTTAGTCAATTGATTCAAAGTGTACTGTTACTGTGTGCAAGCAGTATCAAAATAAATCAGGAAATACAGCAAATACATTTCAAAACGCTTTAGTCTATAGATATTAGTCCAGAAATTGCGAGAAAAAAATATAAGATCAAAAACACTGATACTTACACTGCCAATATATGTATAAAAATCCTAAAATGAATTCTACGAAACCCAAATAATCCGCAAAAAAAAAAGACAAAAAACAAATGTAAAATAACAACAAAACAAAATATCAACTTCCGTTTCTAGACTTATGTATGTCGATTTTTGCCAATACAAATACTGCAAAAAAAAAAAAAATTAAAAAAAAAAAAATACGACATTCAAAAAAAATTTTACCCAACGTACATTGCGTCTTAGAAGAGATGGGAAGCATAACTTGTACCCTAGTTAATCAAAGCAACTACAAACTTAACAACCAAAATATGTGTGTAAATATATGTGTATATGTATGTATGTTTGTATGTAAAAATTCTGTAGTTTCTAATTTTTTAGACCATTTAATTTAAATAAAGATCTATATATTAAAAACGCGAATTACTTTTAAGCGTAAATTACATAACTCATATTAAAATGTATAATTTACATACATATATAAGTAATTCGTTTTTTTTACACAAACTACACAACTAGTAAAACTTAATTACTTAAATTTACTTTTTTTAATGAGTAACTGTTGAAAAAATAATTTGTTTTTACTAGTAAAAACAATTAGCATTAAAAGACTCTTTACTTTTACTTGCATATGTAACTTACTTTTAGTTATAAATGTGAAGAAATTTACTTTGAAAAGTAATTTTGCTTTTAATTATGTAAAAAATATACATTGAAATGTAATTTATTTTTTACATGTAAAAATGACATTTATGAAGTAAACTTACGTAAATATAATATCTAATAAACATAACACTTACTTTACAAAGTAAAATAAAACTACATCATAAAACCAGTATAGAAGCAGGTAGTAAAGAGAAGGAAATTCTAGTCGCTGATCATTTTTATCTCGTATGCCGTATAAAATGCGTGCCATTTAAGCGGAGATATTCTATTTATACATAGTTTATATCTATTTTTAGTTTATACTTCTTTATTGAAAATATTTACTTATTAGTTTATTAATAAACTATTATTAGTTTATATTATAATTGTTTATATTATGGTAGTTAAGCTATCATAGTTTGTATTAAATCATAATGTATAAACTTTAGGGAAAGTATTTGTTTCTATTTAATCTATATTAAACTATAATTTATACCGTATAAATAGAGCTATTCGTTTTATAATTATTTTATAAATGATTATAATCTAAGCCTTTTTAGTGAAGTTATTAGTTTTCTACAAATGTAAACCGTTTTAATAGAACTTTTCGTTTTAAACTTTAGTTTATATTCAATTATAATTTATACCCTTATTTGAAATACTTGTTTTATACTTTTTTATGTTTTAGCGCTTTATACTTTGGTTATATTTAAATATTTACTGTATACCGTTGTAATGAAATTATTTGTTTTTTACATAGCTTATATGTAACTATATTATATACCACTAATCTGAAAATATCGTTTTATACTAAGTTTATATTTAAGAGTCGTCCATAAAGTACGTACGCTTTTATTTTGTCCCACCTCCGCATTTTGCCATACGCTTTTTTGAGCACACTCCACCTGCTTATATGTACCTATGCTTGTAACCTAACTACCCAATATTTTATGATATTGTTTTTAATTTAGTGTCTCCTTACTTTTATAATTAATCCACTGCCCTCCCATCTCATATCCACCATTTGCAAAACCCCTCTTCCCCACTAAGCGTACGCATTTTGTGGACGATCCCTAATCACAATTTATTCCGTTAAAGTAAGGTTATTTGTTTTATATCTAGTTCACATTTCACTAAAATTTTTATATCGTGTTAAACCTAGTTTATTTACTGTTATAATTTATACTGTTTTCTTGGAGTAATATGCATTATACTTTGTATAAAATTAATATTTATAACGTTTAAGAAGAGTTATTCGTTTTAAAACTGTATTCTCTCTAAATTATTTGTATTATACCTCGTTTATATTTAACTATAACTTATACTGTTTTCGTCGAGTAATTCGTATTATAATTAGTTTATACTTAGTTTAAATAAAATTACTTATAAATAAATTTGTAGTGTTTTTAAGCGCTATTTTCAATTTTTTTATCGTACTGAATCAATTTTGAAATCAAAAGTTGTATTCGTTACTCAGATTCCTTTAACGGAAATGTTTGAAAACTTTTTTTTTTCATGACTGTAAAAGTGTTTTGACTTTAAAACTTATATTTTTAAGTATTAATAACAAGTAAATATTCTCAAATATGTATTAAAATAAATTGTACTTTTTGATGTTTTTATTATAAAATATGCAATTGGAAAATAATAAATACCATAATGTAATATAAATAAACTCAAAATTTAGTTTTTAGTATATACTAGTCATTCGCCAAATATTTTAGGAAATGGTTGAAAGCTTATACTGCGGTCGTGGCGCAGTATAAGCTTTCAACCATTTAGAATGCTTGCTTTATAAGCAGAAGATCCAGGCTCGAAACGGGCTTGGACATATTTTCGCGTCACGGTAAGGAAGGAGACGTGAACTTCCTGGTTAAACGCACTTTCGCGGTGCTCTGTGACAAGACCGTTAGGTCTTTTTGGGGCACCTAAAAAAATATATATATCACAATATAATCACTCTTTGTGCTTCATACGAAGACGAAAGCTTTGCGCCCATTATGGATTTTTGTATCATAAATTTAAACAATAACCTTCTTTTTTTTATTACAGCATACAAGTTTTAAAATGATATAAAAATTTAAAAAAAGTTGCATGGTTATTTTCTTATTGAAATGGCAAATTGTTTATTTTTCGAAAATTTCACTAAAATTTTTTTAGTTGAAACATAATTTATTGTTGCTTTTTTATTTATTTTCATTTACTTAAGTTTTTACTTCTCATATATTATATTAGATAATTTAATGACTAAAAATAAGTATTTTTGAAGTCATTTTTGAAGTATGGTTAAAGTAGTAGATCGCCATTAGAACATTAGAATGTTTAGTTATGACTTTTTTTCAAATTAGTTATTTATTTACAAAGCCGACGACACGGGTTTCAAAGTGGGGGGGGGGGCGCAACTGTTGCAAAAACTGCAACAAAAAAGTTGTCTATATCTAGAATTTTCTTATATTTAAAAAATAAAAAAAACAAAAAGGTCTTTCAGGAAAAAAGTGGGCACATGCCCCCCTGGCCTCCTCGGTGTCATCGGCCCTGATTTAGAAAAATACATAAACAAACTAATTTTTAGGTCATATTTGAAGAAAAGAAAGTACTCTTAGTTAAACAAGCATTATGGGTCATGTCACAAGCATCGATCGCATTCATTATTTTGGAAAAGTTCCCCTGCTCAATGCACTTAACAGAAAAAAGGTTTAATGTTAGGAAAAAACTCTAAATGAACCTTGTATTTATAATAGTAAGCAAAGCGTGCAATTTTTATTTGTTATTTATTTATTATCTTACTTATAGATTATATATATATATATATATATATATATATATATATATATATATATATATATATATATATATATATACATATATATATATATATATATATATATATATATATATATATATATATATATATATATATATATATATATATATATATATATATATATATATATATATATATATATATATATATATATATATATATATATATATATATATGTATATATATATATATACTCTTGCTTAGTCGTTTTTAATTTTTACCATAAAATGAAAGTTTTATGTCTTTTTTAAATTGATTTATAAGACCGAAAAAAGTTTGAAATCGTTAAACAAAATTTTTTTTATTTGATAGACTGCCTGCCCAAACCAAAGCCCTTAAAATCTACTATAATAAAGTTCAGTAATATTATTTAAGATTTTAATTTTATAATATATAATTTTTCCGTTTAAAACAATTTTTATATAGTAACACAAATACAATAAAAAAGTTTTTATAGTATATATAAATGTAAATTTATTTTAAAATTTGCAACGCAGATTTTATTAAAATAGTAAAAAATTAATACTTTTTTTATCTTTTATCAACTAAAAACTTTTTATTATTTAATAAAATAAATCGACAAAAAAATGATTACTTTTTTATTTAAATTATTCAAGATACTTTTAAATATATTTGGATATTTCTTTGAATTAAAACAAATTTCTAAAACAATTCAATTTTACTCTTTAAAGAATAAAAATTGATTAAAAACAAATTTCACACATTGTTAAAAAAACAGTAAGATACATCACTTTGACTGATCACGATATTTTTATATTAAATTTGATTTATAACAAATTGTTTAAATATACAATTGCAGAGTTTGTTTAATTACAAAATTGCTTTTTGGTGAAATTGACCAAATAAAAAGGTAAACTTGATTAGTAAACTTTTTTGACAATTTTAAAATTGTGTACAATTTGGTGTTTAGTTATGCTGCAATTTTTTTAAACCATACCCATAATTAATTAATGTAAATCTTAGAATACATTCCTAGGAATGAGTGGTGTATACGGCATTTTTTAAAGTTTTAGATATGGTTTTATAAATTATCAAAAGGTATTTAACCTTGTTCTTTTAGATTCTCAAGTGGTTTTTCTAGCTATCAGAATTTTTGAGTACAGATCAAAAAAATTTTTTGATCCATAGTATAAAACACATTAGTAAAAAATAAACTGTACTTAACTTAAATTTATCCACAGATTTTAGGTTTTATTTGTTTATCTATTAGTGTTTGAAAAAAATATGATTATGTATACATAATTTATTTTTTGTAAAACTTAGAACCTCTTTAATTTGAGAAGGACGGAAACTTAAAATGTTCATAACTTTTAAATACTAAAAGAATTTTATATGAAACTTAAAACCAGTTAACGAATTATAATTAAATTTAAAATAAATGACTATAGATAACCTAAGGTAAAGCTTAAGTTGTTGCTCTCGCTTTTTTTTGTTTTATTTTAAGAAAACCTAACCTCATTTTACAGAGCACCGTGGAGAAGCATTAAACCAGGAAGTTGCACCACTGTTGCTAAATCATGCTACTTTAGGGGTATGAGGTGCAAACATTTTTACATTTTTTTTTATTTTTAAGACTACTTTTGCCGTGACTTGCAAAACATTCTAATTTTAAACAAGTTTATAAAAGTACCTGAACTTTAGTCATTACTAGTAATAATATTGATAATTTAAAATCAGCAAATGTTCACCGAGTTTTTCAAAAAAAAAAAGTTGTTGTAACGTTTCCAACCACAGTTTTGTATCACTTCTTCCATTATTTTTGAAAGTGTTTGAAACGGTATATGTTTTGTGTATTATTTTAATAATAATAAAATTGGCAATCTTCATTTACTCTTATTACCTTCTAACCTGTATAAACATTTTGTAAACTAAAAATGTAAAACCTTTGTAATGTTATCAAAGAATAAATTAAGTTTGAAGCGGAATCGCGTACGAAACAAATTCTAGTAACTACCTTGCGGGCATTTGTTTTTAAAAGTTACGTTCTAAATGTTTTCTTTACGTAAGAATGTTTAGAAGACGTTTAAAAGACATTTAAAATACATTTAGAACGTAACTTTTAAAAATAAATGCCCGCTGGGTAAATAAACAAATAAACTTTAATTCCTCAGAAAATATAATTTTTAGCAGTATACTTTTTTTTATATTTTATTTATTTAGATATTTGTAAAAATTCCAGAAAGTTCAGGGCTGCACTTTTTATCATAGAGTCACAGCAATTTTTTAAATGTAGGTCATGAATGTTTCACGCACAGAAGTCACGCACAGAAGTTGAAAATTTGTCAATTTCAAGTAGTTATTTTATGAAAATTTTTATTGCTTGTGAATATTTCAAGTGAAATATTTTATTTCTAAAGTTCATATTTAATATGTTTTCGATGAGAATAAGCAGTCATCAAATATTTCTAGCTAGAGTAAGACGTTTGAAAATTAAGAAGTTTGAAAATTTGAAAGTTTGAAAATCGAACTACAGCTGTTTTAACTCACAAAAAAAAAATAATGATAAAAATATATAAATTTAAAGATGCAGATAGTCTAAATTATGAAAAAAAATATTTTTGTTAGAGTTGTTCCTTTAGAAAATCACAATAGTATGCGTAATACTATAAGTCCGAGCTTCTAATTGTAAAAACAAAGAAAAAAGAAAAATCATTCACACAAATGGAAAGACCCATTAGATATTAAAATTCAGTTACCTATAATAATACATATATGTCCTATATCTAAATTTAAATAATAAACTTGTTTGAGATGTTAATATTCATCTATTAATACAAGAAGGTATTTTTGCTAACATAGGCATTATTTTAATATTTTTACATCAGCATTTAAAATATCTAAAATGAAACCTTCAATCAAATACCGACCAAACTATAACTCAGGCTGAGTAAAATCACACGTGACAAACATTTCAGTTGCCAAGGCCTTTCATTATAGTAATAATTGAAACCTAATAGTATAAAAAACTTTTGTATTATTGAAATAGTTTGATATTTGAAATAAATTTTCGATAATTAGATAAACCACTTGAGAAACAAAAAGAACATGATTGTTATGCCTCCTAGGAAAAAGGTTTGAAATTTAAAATGCCTAATCAAAAAGTAATAGTTACATTTGCTTTTTGAATTTTTATCTTTTATGTGACTTATATCTGTACGTCAATATTTACATGTACGAACATGTGTTATTTGAGGTTTAGTTGTTACCTAAAGACAAACATTTGTCGTTCTCTTAACCCAACAACTTTCACATAATATAAAACCAAAAACTGTAAATACTTTTTTTACAGCAGCAACAACAACAAAAAACCAAAAGAAATTGAAAATAAAAAAACTCAAAAAAGAGTTAAATTTTTGCAACGAAACCGTTAGGGAAATATTAAGGAATATGAATAAATCTTTTTAAGTTTTTGATTCTATAAAGTGAAGATGAACATTTGTATATCAAGCGGTTAGTCTTATTTATTCAGGAATACCACTGCAATGGTAAGTATGTATTTTGGCCAAATTAAGTCTAATCACAACGTTTTAAATCAGTCACAGATTGGCTTCAAGCACAAAAGAGACCGCTGGTACCAAAAAATATAAAACAGCAATCGAGTCAAAAATTTGCTAATTATTTGGTTTTCATCAACTATTAAACGAGAAGCGTACGTGGTTTGCTGTTTGCAGTGTTTACAAGTTAGAATCAGTCAAGAATAAACAAGAATCAGGAAAAAAAAAAAAAAAGAAACAGATATTGTCAAAAAAAAGCCAGTTAAAAAATTTAGTTATGACGACAGAAGAGATTTAAATAAACTTGCAGTCCCAGAATTAACTTTATTTTTAACTAACTTTCTTAAAAGTTTTATTGGAAAACGTTTGCAGTTTTATTTTTAAATATTTTGAAATAATTTTATAGCAAAAAAAAGCAATTTAGTCAGTTTTAGTTGAAAAGTCACAAAATATATATATATTTTTTTTGTTTTAATGATAACGCCATTCCACAAATTACAAAGATTAGAAACGCTTTTAGATAAAAAGTTTTGTTTTGAATTGAAAAAAGTAAGAACTCTGGAAAACTGAGATTTAAACATTGCGTGTTAGTTTTATATTTAATCATAAACCTCATTATGATATCAAACTATATGTTATTAGGCTCAAAATATATTAATACCGAACGTATATTTTGTAGTTACTTTAAGTTGGTTTTGGTTGACCATTGCAGTGGATCATTTATTGACCAAGAGTTTCATTAAAAAAATATTTAGTCCCATCATATTATATTATTGTTTTAATTTTTAATAATATAAAAACCCAAAATCTAATCACCAAGCTAAAAAGTTATTTTATAAATAATTTGTGTAAATATTTTGTTCAAATATTTTGTGTAAATATCGTATAACATATCAATGACTTTAATTACTTATTAGATAAATTATTCACATTTAAAATACGATTTATATTAAATAAATTAAACTAAAACAACACAAGTTTTCACAGAATCGTTATAGGAGACCGTGGCTAGTTGGCTAGAAAGGTATTAGAAAAGATGCAAAAAGTCATATGGAGCCCTCCTATCGGATCTTTTTATCTGTCACTGTAGTATTGTTGGAATTTGCGCATGCATTTAGGAATTATTTAAGTATACTTGTTTTTTGGACGAAACGTAACTTTAGGAACATGGCTTCCTGTTTATTTTACGTGGAGAATATTAATTTTTATGAAAAAAAAATTCAAAAGATTCAAGTCAAAAATGAATTACTCTTTCTTTCCAATTTATATATATATATATATATATATATATATATATATATATATATATATATATATATATATATATATATATATATATATATATATATATATATATATATATATATATATATATATATATATATATATATATATATATATATATAAATTTAAATTTGATTTTATAATTTTCAAAAAGTAATGAGTGGTAAAAAATAAAAAGTTTTTTATAATATTGAAAAAATGTATAAAAAAAAAAAAAAAAAAATTTAAAAAGTGGGCTAGTGTTTTGGCATATTTTACAAACTATAGTTCGCTATCAGTAATAATAAATCTTTTACATAAAGTTTTGCCAAAATAAATATAAAATATATTAAATATATTTTATATTTATTTTGGCAAAATAAATATAAAATATATTAAATAAACTTTATATTTATTTTGGCAAAATTTTATGTAAAAGATTTAATATTACTGATAGCGAACTATAGTTTGTAAAATTTAATAGTAATTTTCTATAAAATTTTATATAAAATTCTATAAAATTTTATAGAAATTTTCTATAAAATTTGCTCTCAATGATATAACAATAATAATCACTGTTACTGTTTACTCGTGCCTTTTATTATTATTATAATTTTTTTTTTGAAGCCTTGGTTAAACCCCAAACAAATTGTTGATAAAATTATTTCATTTATTAACGGGACTTAACGCAAGTTTTTTTTGCAATGGTTAAACACGTTTCATCAACCTGAAGCCTTAGTAACTCTTTTCCTAAAGATTTTATCACACAATTATCAACACATTTTTTTTACTATCGTAAAAAAAAAAATGTATTGATGAAGTTTTGGAAGAACGAACTATGAAATAACGTAAACAAATGTATTGATGAGGTTTTAAAACAGTGAAATATGAAACAACGTAGAAAAATTTATTGCTGTAGTTTCGAAACAGCGAACTATAAAACAACGTAGACAAATATATTGATGAAGTTTTGAAATAGCGAACTAAAAGAAACAACATAGACAAATATATTAATGAAGTTTTGAAACAGCGAACTAAACAAAACAACGTAGAAAAGCGTTTTATTTAATCATGTTAATTCACCTCCCCATGAACGAAAAGACCACTACATAGAAGGTGACTACTTAATTGTTGTTATAACTCTCATTCAACTGAAACACGAAACCGACCCGAACACGAAACACGAAACCAACCGAAACACAATCCGAACAACGAACAAGGACGCTGCGCGGAGAAACAAATTTATATAACGAAACAAACCCTTATAACGGTTACTGCAAAAACATGCAAAAACAAGTTTATTTGTAAAAAAAAACTGTCGAAAAGTAAAATTATTGCAAGATTTATTTTAAGCAAACTTTATGTTGTGTTTTTTTAATCAATTTTTTAGATGAAATTCTAAAATATATTTAAAATCTATTTCTTTAAAGTTATTTGTGTTTTTATAGACAAGAAACATGTCAAGTTACAAAGATGCAATATGTCAATATCAATATAGCGATATGGTGGAATATACTAACAGCCGTTTTTTTATTTCATCCTATATTTTAAACGCAGTATTTAACATAGCTACGAATGGTTTTTTGATTTTGGGTTTACATATTACGACCAAAAACAAAAAGTACACTCAAAACGAGAAGCTTGTTATTGCACTATCCATTACTGATATATTATATGCTCTAATAGTTTCACCATCTCAAACAATATTATTAAAACTGATTGATAATTTTGGTTGTTTAGAGATATCTATTATATCATTTTTTCGAATCTGGTTGTTAGGCTTATCGAGCTCAATTTTTATATTAATTTCTTTTGAGCGTTATCTTACTGTATTTTATAACAACAAGATTTGTGGAGTTACAATCAAAGACTCCTACTTATTTGGATACCTTTCATTAGTTATTATTTTTACATGTTGTACTGCTGTCATGTACAGTGTCATGTATGCTACATCAAGCTTGCATCTACAGTTTATTCTCTATATGTGGACTGGTTTTATTACAATGCTTTCACTTTTTCTGATTATTTTTGCTAATCTTTTAATGCTTGTTCAAACTGAAAAAAAATTGAGAAGAAGTTCTGTTCAAATTCAGAAAAACATTGAAATAAAAAACTACATAACAAAAACCGTAGTAATAATATCACTTACACATGTATTGTTTTATACTCCGTGCTTAATAGCGCAATATTATTTGTCGTTTGTTTTTTCAAAAAAAAATATTTCTCAAGTTCCAGGAGTTTATCGGGTACTTATGTGGACCATAGCCATTAGAGAAGTTAGTTCCTGGATTAATCCATTGATTTATGCTGTTAGAAACAGAAAAGTTTCTAAGTTATTTGGTTCTAGAATAAATTCATTACTTGCAAATTTTATACTAAAGGAAAGACCGACCCGAGAAAGCACATCGGAATGCAGATCTTTATCTGCAATTTAATAAACTTTTAACATTTTTTTATTTTTTTATTTTTTCTAAGTTTATGACTTAACGTATAAACGTTAAAAAATAATATGACGTAACGTATAAATGTTTAACGTATACCGTAACTAATACTGTTTTACTTACTTAGTTTACTTTGTTTTTTTACTTTACCTTTTATAAGTTTCTGAAAAGTTTATTTCTAAATTAAAAAAGATGGAGTTATGTTGTATGCATATATATGTATATATATTTATATATATATATATATACATATATATATATATATATATATATATATATATATATATATATATATATATATATATATATATATATATATATATATATATATATATATATATATATATATATATATATATATATATATATATGTATATATATATTTATATATATATATATATATATATATATATATATATATATATAAAATATATATATATATATATATATATATATATATTTATATATATATATATATATATATATATATATATATATATATATATATATATATATATATATATATATATGTATATATATATATATATATATATATATATATATATATATATATATATATATATATATATATATATATATATATATATATATATAAATTATAAATATAAATATATAAATTTTTTTAAAGGTTTTAATCGTTTGTTGTTATTATCTGGAGGAAGGTTCTGTTAAAAATTTGTATCTAAACTTTCATTAGTTAGGAGTTTTAATACAACATTAAGCAAAGTGCCATACCGCAAAAGCAACAATGGATGTCATCAATAGGGAGTTCAACAATGTTGGCCAATAAATTCACTAAACCTAAATTGCATTGAGCATGTATGGGCAAGGCTTCAAAACAGCGTTTTTTTTTAAATTCCACACCCCAAAACCACTAACATATCATCACAAGAGTTCAAAAAGAACGGGCTTTAATCATTTGGTAGAATGCTATTCACTTATTGAAAGTTTTTGCGGCAGAATTTTGGAATGTTTTGATAAAAATGATGAAATAATATATATATATATATATATATATATATATATATATATATATATATATATATATATATATATATATATATATATATATATATATATATATATATATATATATATATATATATATATATATATATATATATATATATATATATATATATATATATATATATATATATATATATATATATATATATATATATATATACATATATATATATAACGAGTGTCCGATTAGTATGTCATAGTAGATCTTGATTAAGATGGTAAGATAGTCAATTGCCTTCATGATGTGAAAATTAATTGACAAAGCATTTTTTTAAATAAACAAACAAGGAATTTAAAGTTCCATTAAAAATATATTTTTTTTATTCCGTTAAAAATTTAAAAGACCAAAAGGTAAGAAACTTTTCAAAGAATCTAAGTGTTGTTTTTTTTCTTTACAATTATGATTGGTTCTAAAGTTATTCTGGAGATAGGGGATTTTTCCATATTTAATGATGACGCGCTTTGAATGAATAGATATAAATAAAACTACCTACCCTCATTTAGTTTTAGTAAAAAGTTTTTCAGATTGTGTTAGTCTTATAATCAATTAAAATTAATGAATCAATCAATTTTCAACAAAAATGCCTCAAAATTACAAGAGAAAACGCAGATCATATAAATCAAATTATTTGTTTGTGCATTGCACTTAGCGGCTTTATGCACTAACAAAGTGATTGATGAATTTTTTGAAACACTTTAAACAACTGAAAAAAATGCTGACATATTGGACGAGCCAAAAAATGTTTTTAGCTGTTACAAAATTGTGATCAAGGTTGAAAAAAAGTCTTTATTAGAGGATAGGCAAGACAAAAGAGAAACAAGGTGAAAGAGAAACAAGGAAAAAGAGAAGCAAGGCGAAGGAGCAGCAAAGTGAAAGAGAAGCAAAGCGGAAGAGAAGCAAGGCAAACACTTATTATAAGTAGTAGTCTTTGGGTAAAATGGGGTTTTGTTCAACCTCCTCGTATGTGCTACATTGTGTCTCCTTTTGGTTGGATCGAGGAGAATCATCGTGTACAATCGATTAAGTCTGTGTTCATTCCTTTTAAAAATGAAAATTGCGAAGACCTAGTAGTTTTAGCCGCTTATGGTCATTTAATTCATGTTTTTATGGCAGCCATTCAACTATGTTGACAGAATGATTGAAACTAATAGTTTTAATATCCTATTCTTCAACATTTTTCCAACCACTCGATGCAGGTGTTTACTGTTACATAAAAAAAATTTGGCAAGCAATTCTACACTACAAAGAAACTGGTTTTAGAAACTTTAATAGGCAGAAATTACCTGACTCTCTTATAAAATTATATTCATCAGAGCAGACTTTCAAGAGATCACATGCAGTCAGTGGTTTTGAAAATACAGGTCTCTATCCATTAAAAACCATCCAAATATCCAAATAAAAACGTAGTCAAAAGAGAGAAACTCAAGCTTTCAGAGCTATACAATCCACCAGCACCAATACTACCACCAGCAATACCATTATTGTCTTCACAAATAGAACTAGCAACTTCATTATTGTCTTGATAAATAGCACCAGCAACTCCATCAACAGCATTTCAACTACTATCAGTCGTCACTCCTCAATTAGTTCTAGAAGAAATAAAGTTGACGAGCTATGTAATTGAAGAGAATTTTAAAGGGTACCGTAAGATTGGGTGGCTTCGGCCCATTTTGCATCTTAATGTCTATTGCATAAAAGCAACAAAAGTTATTTCCTCAAACACTAAGTACTTTTAGAATTGCATAGAAAGGACCGTTAGAGCTATCTGTCTCCCATTTGAAAATTATTTGCCTGAAGTATTTTTTGGGTGGTTTAAATGGTGGGCCAAAGTCGCTATATGTGTTGGGGTGACTTTAGCCCAACCCTGTAAAAACGAACTAAAGGAAGCAAAACACCAATAAAAATAACAATATTTAGACAAAGAAAATAAATTTACAAAAACAAAATGACTAAAAAAGACTTAGTAACAAAGTTCTTACATACAGTAAATAAAATATAGGTACAAACTAAACAAGGAAAGGTAACAAGTAAACAAAAATGACAAAAATAATGTTTAAAAAAATTTTTTGAAAAAGTTCTGGAACTGAATAAATTCCTCTTTTTGAAATTTTCTTTGGTTCCACAATAAAATCGACTATTTCAGACTGGGGAAAAAAAAATTGCTCTGCTGGTAGTGACCATTTCCAGTTAAGTCCATTTTTTTCAAAATAGTAATTTTTGCTCCATTTTTTTTTAATTTTTTCAAATGCAGAAACAAAAATTTCGAAAGTTTTTTTAAAATTTTTTAGCAGTTTCATTAAATAATATTAGCTATTAAATTAATTAGTTATAAAGTTTACTAATTGATTAGCTAAATATAAATAACTCAAAATAAATAAACAAACCTGTCCATGATTTAACTTTCCATTGTATTTAACTAAATAACAATTCTCTACAAGATTTAATAATTTCTCCTTTTTACAAACATTTTTTGTTTTATCAATATTTTGAAAGTTTTTTTTGCCTAATGCTGAATGATATAAAGTTTCTGTATGACTTTCTACAACTAAACTTACATCTGCAAAAATTAGATTAGAAGTCTCAATAGTTCCAGAATTTGTACTTGGGCCAACAAAGTCAATGTTGTTGGTCTCAATTGTATTTATAATACTGATAGGCGTATCTACATTATTTGAATTTAATCTATTATTTTCATTTATAATACAAGATGATATATCTGTTGAACATAAGTATTTACCTTGGACAGCACATATTTACGTCGCTTTGGTTTTTTAGAACCTGAGGGATCATCCAGTGACTTACATAAATGATCTAAAAATGATTGGTTTACTAAATCAGTAGTTGAGTCTAAACCTACATTACAACAAGGTAGTTGTGAAAGCACTTGAGACTTGTCTAATGGAAAAATTCCAGTTTTGTCAAAACTAGCTCTAAGGTTATCATTCCCATGTTCATTTAAGTTGGTAATTAAATGGTCTAAAAGTCTAGGAAATTCATCTTTAGGAAGAGAAGCAACTTTTCTTCCTTTTCCTTTCTCCTTCCATTCACATAATATTTTACACCAGTTATTTTTCATAGGTCTAAAGTAGGCAACATCTAATGGCTGCGTGAGATGTGCAGAGTTTCCTGGTAATGCAACAAATCCTATGCTATTGCTTTGACATGCATCCAGTACTGCAATGCTCAAATGTGAAGATACGTTATCACCTATAACGTCACTTCTTCCTTGAGCCTTCTTAAGTCTTGGAAGAAGTAAAGAGAAAAACCAGTCCTCAAAACATGTTGAGTCAAACCAACCACTTTTTGATATGTTATAACGTGCTTATGGTGGCCCATGTTCCATCCATGTATTCATAACGACTCAGCTTTGTAAACAACATAAGGTGGTAGCAATTCATATTTATCAACAGAAAAACTAAACTCAGATGATTTTATTGCATTTGCTTTAAACATGTCTTCTTCTTTTGATGTAAATATTTGCTGACCACCATACTTTTTATGATATGTCTGTTTTATTTTTCAATGTTGATCTTGGTATATCGTATTTGAAAGCTGCTTGTCTTTGAGTAATTAAACCATTCTTTAAATCTTTTAATGCATTGTCTAACTGTTCTAAAGTATAAGTAACATATTTTCTTCTTCCACGATTTGGCTTGTAATTTTGTGGCATATTTAAACTTAGAACAAAACAAATTTCACTATAATTTTATAGTGGTTTACTAATACAAACTGTTATACTGATTTTCTATTGCATTACTACTACAAAATTTTTCATTCCAACATAGAAACTACCATAATATCTATAATTGATCACTAAAAAAGGTTTACTCCAATACATGGGTTGACTATAGCTTGGGCCAAAGTCACCCTATGTAGTGGGCCAAAGACAACCTATTTTTTTTTAACCTCAATTGCAAAAAATTAATAAACTGTTAAGCTTTCAAAACAAGATAGAATTAAACACTAATGATTTAAAATTAATTCAGTGTATGTTCCAATAAAAAACCTTCTATTGGTACTGCTATTGATGTAAGAGTTTACATACCTAAAAAAATTCGGATTTTAGGTGCTTTTTTTAAAGTACGATTTACAATAATATCACAAAGACTGGAGTTAAGTAAACTTAGTTCTTAGTTA